GCAGTCAAGTACTGTTTCTAACCCTCTCTGCGAAAGTGAAGGGAAAGAACGGCGAAGTCGTCACAGAAGCTAATATCTTCTACGATAGCGGAGCACTAGTAAGGATGATACGAAGCAGTTATGCAGATTGCAGAGTCATTGAATCTCGAAAGTAAGCCCATTCGGATTGTCACCACCAAAGTTGGTGGAGCAGAAGAAGATATGAGTACCAGTATATACAAGGTCCCTGTCTGCACAAATGATGGTCGCATTGTTCAAACAATCGATGCTATCGATATCGATCGCAAAGGCATCCGAGGACACTCCTGACGTATATATCCATTATCTATCGACAGTTCCGGAAATATCCAGTGATAAGTTGAAACGCAGAGCAGGACCAATAGATCTGCTCGTTGGAATAAACTATTCCCGGCTCCATGTTGGTGAAACGAAAGTCAGAAACAACTTGTTGCAAGAAATGGTCCCTTGGGATGGATAGTCTTTGGTTCCAATGCACATACATATATGTTATTTACCGGCTGAGAGGTCCGGATGTGAAAAACTGTGCCCGAGGTCTTGAAAACGGTCCGCTCCGGAAGGGCGAGGGACGTTTTCAAGACCGAGGGCACAGTTTTTCTCATCCGGACCGACGCTGCCTGTAAATTCATTAAAATTCCAGTGTTGCTTGCGAACTAATTTGAGATCAGTGCAGTTGTGTATTTTTAAAGCGAGGCTGACAAAAATTGATAAGTTGAAAGATATAAAACACGAATACGAAAACTCGAGAAAACTGACGAGAAACACACAAAAAGACGTATAGTTTCAGTATGCTTTTTTCATAAATATGATAGCAGAAAAGCTTTGGAATAAAGAGTTTTTTTAAGCCTGGCGTTTTGGCTTTGACAAATTCAGTTGCTTCTGACAACGACAGGTTCATGTTCAGATCCGACTCAAAAACACATAAAAATGAATCTGTTTTGATTTAATCAACGTTTTTACTAAAAGGAAAATGAAAAAGGTATGCTATTTTTATATTTTTGTATTTTTTCTGGTCGTTTCACGATAATACGCTTGAAAAAAGTGTTTTTAAACACGCACTTTTACTTTGACTTTGTTTACAATTATTTATATCAGTGAACATATGCCTGACACAAATGGGTAGAGAATATATTCGTGACTTGTTTTCACTGTTGCAGTTAAACCTTCTTTTAATTAGGAAAACATTTGTTTTAAAATATCTATTTAAGCTGTATGAGCATTTAAAAAAATATATAGTTTTCTCGGCGTAAGTTTTATACATGTCAAATAAGGGACGGACCATTAGAAAAGTGATGGGGGGGGGGGGGCCTTTTCTTGCATGCACGATATTTTTTTCGACTGCTTTGGCGTTGCAGGAATTTTTTTTTGGCACCAAATTATTTGCACGAATTTTTTTTTCCATGAAACTAGAAGTTTTCTTAACAAAGCACAAGTAACGTATGAAAAAGACTAACTATTTTCTGTTCTTTCAATAATGTGATTAAATTCCTTGAACAATTACTTTTGAAAAGTTGTAGAAAACTATTATATATTTTAATACAGCCATGGAGTCAAAAGACAAAGATCTCTCATTTTCCTCAGACCTAGCCCCACCCATTCACCCAAAGCCAAACCCCAATACCAGACTTTTTATTAAAAACACATATTTTATACAAAATACGTTTTCAACTTCAAGTTCCAATCTATTTTACGAATTTACGATTTCAGTAGTAACTCTGTGCGAGTCAGTTTAATACCTGTGTCTGACTCTGATTAAAAGACATACATGATTACATGAAGCCGTCCAATTCTTATATACCATTCCAAATGATGCAAAGCCAAAGGCACCGCAATTGAATTTGCGGCTACATGGCCCACCATTCTATAATCTTCTATAGACGTCTATAGAAGATATTAAACGACCTATTTTTGTTGAAAGATGACTAACATCGTGGATTGCAAGTCCAGAATAAAATAAAGCTTGGCCCTGTTTTCCAACAATGAACAATCTCGCCAACAACGATTTAATTATATTTTTCATTGCGCTCTGCAGGAATTTTTTTTCCTCGAATTTGATCATGCAGGAATTTTTGTTAAAGTTAATTTGCCTTGCACGAATGTTCTTTTTTGTTCGCCCCTCCCCCCCATCACTTTTCTAATGGTCCGCCCCTAACTTTCCGACTTTCAGTCGCATTTCTCTCAAAATATTGTCAATTCTGGTGTACATCGTGCTTAGTATGAAGGCGTTAGGTTTAGGGCTTGATGCAATCATTTTCATATTCTGACTATCGCTAGGCTACGTTTTTCAAACGCTTTGCGCAGATTTTTTCGTTTAAAAATTGTTTCACTCCTCGGTTTTTGCCGCGAAAACCAGAGCGGGCAGTTGCATTTCCCAGCGGGCAGTTGCGTTTCAGAGCGGGTCGGATGCAAAAACCGTCCCGCTCTGAAAGGCCTTTCAACTAATCAGATTGGTTCATTCTGACTGATAAAAAATAAGTGTTGCTATGCCTGTATGCCTGTCGACCTTGCATCCTTCTGGAGCACTGAATCAATGGGAGTTGCTGTATCGCCATGCACCTGCAAAGAAGCTGAAATGCCTGCAACTGAACGAACAATATTGAACGAACTTTAAGAGTCCTGTCAACTGCAAAATGGAAAGTGGACAATTAAATATCCCTGGAAGAGAGACCCACAGCCCTGCCCAATAATTATCCACAAGTGATAAAGAAGCTCGAAACCACCGAAAGGAGACTCGCGAACCAACCGAAATATGCCTCCAGCAACGATGAGCAGATTAAAGAGATGGAAAATGTGGGATTTGCAAGGAAGCTAACCGAAAAGAAAATTAAGGAGTGGAAAGGTCCGGTGCACTACATCTCGCACCATGCCGTCCTAAGCCCGGAGAAATAGTCTACTCCAGTGAGAATCGTGTTTAATAGCTTGGCATCCTTTAATGGTACGGTCACTGCCTGAATGACTATTGGCATAAAGGTCCGGATCTCCTCAATAACCTATTTGGTGTTCTCTTACGATTTAGAGAAAACGCTGTTGCAGTATTCGTAGACATTGCGAAGATGTATCACATGATTGGAATCACACCACCTGATCAACATGTACACCGTTTCCTATGTAATCCGATTATGTCCGGCACGTTACGAACAGTTCCGGAACTCAACGAAACAATAGGTCCCTGGAAGAACTTTGACGGCATTCAAACCTCTGGTTTAAAAGTTTATTTTGTGAGGATTTCAAAGGTTTAAATAGGGGTAAATGCTGGCTGAGATAGTTCGTTTTAAATAGGAGTAAATACTGTCTGAGATAGTTACATTAGAAACAATTGAATCGTAAAATAGCTAATGGGGCCAGGCCAGGAAAGAGTTTTAACTGAGAATTTGGAAGAAAACTGAGCTAGCTTCACAGCAATCTCGTTCCCCGAGCGTGCGATCCTCGGGAAGGAACGCGAGTCTCTGGAATAATCGGTTTCAGGGAGGAATCTGATTGGTCGTTGATACGTAATGCGTAGTTCAGTCTTAGCCAGGATTCCTGGCTTCCGGCAACGGATTATCCCAGAGCCTCACGTTCCTTCCCGAGGATCGCACGCTCGGGGAACGAGATTGGCTTCACAGACACAAATGACCTGTTTCGAAGTCAAAAGAAGTCTAAGTACAGAATTACTTTTTGCACAAAAATAAAGATGTTTTGACACCAAACTATGGCATATAAAGACAATATTTTAGATTAGGTGTTAACAAAAAAGCCGAACGAATATAGCATGTAGAGGGTAATTAGGCAAATTCCAATTATCGATATAGTAAATGATAAAACGAATAATAAAATATATATTGGCCATATAAACTCTCCACCAAATTCTGCAATTTCAAAACAAACATTTTTATTTTCCAAAGGTCGTTATATAAATAACAAACCTACCTTGCACAGATTAAGAATATACCAGATGTGTACAGAGGCGCCGGAATATCGATAATTGGGGGGAGGGGCAGATATTCATATATTCGTGTTCTGCCCAATTAATTTCTTTTGAAATCGATTGTTTTTACAGTCTGTAAACACGAATATATGAATACCTGCCCCCCCCCCCCCAATTATCGATATTCCGGCGCCTCTGGATGTGTAACTTCATAGGACTTCGTGGGTTTAACAACATTCATGTTGTTAGTGAATGAACGGTAATGTTGGCCAACTTATTTAATACGGGAACAATTACCTGCATGTTCTCAACAGGTGGCAATTTCTTCTAACATTTGAACTTTTATTTTACATTGTCTGGACCTGACTGAATCGCAATAAACGCAGAATGATATTGTGACCAAATTTAGGCAATGTGTTTCAAATATAGCTGCGAAATATTGACGATTTATTGTTTTATTTTGTCCAGTGTTGCCTAACAGACAAGTTAAGTTCCTGATTGGTACGTAAATATATATATTACATAATATGTTTTGAATGTTGACAAAATGGCATGAAGTTGCTTCGTGGTAGACACCTGCCACGTTTTTCGATTTTAATTTGATTTACACGTATGTACTGCACGGAAATCTCCATATTTAAAGCCTGCCGCACACGAGGAAAACTTGCTGAGCTATCCGCCTCGAAAGGCGGCTAGCTGAGCTGTGCCTTTTCACTGCACATGTCGGGCAAAATCTTGATATACCGCGTATATAATAAATCAACGATTTGTTCACGCCATATAGCGCAAATAATGCATTATATATATACTGTAATATGTCTGTATAACGATCGCACATTTTGCGAATCTCTTACTCTTTTTATAATTGTCTGGTTGTCTTACAAAATCCCAAAGAACGCGAATATGTTAAATTGAATACTTCTTGTGATAATATCCCCGTTTCCCAAGAAGCGACTGCTGCGCGTGTACTCGTATCCCATCTCTTATTGTGCGATTGAATTGCAACTTTTTGTTTTCCCAAAAAACAGGAAAGCGCTCTTATATAAATTTTCAATTGAAATAGGCCTCAGAATTAATGATTATCTACGCGGGATTGATAATTGTGTTTGCTGGACTAACAAGTGGAAAGAGCTTGGAAAAACTTCAATTCATTGCAAATACGCAGCACAAGTCTTTCTCATTCCTGCTGTTCTCTGATGTCCATTTGGATTTGATGTACAACAACACGGCAGACAAAAGTGGATTTTGCAGAAATGAAAGCATTAAGAGTTCTCACACTGCAAGCTATGGAAGAATTGGATGTGATACACCATTGAGTTTACTTCAAAACGCATTATCTGCAATGAAACAGAAAACGATGCATTCATCTAAACTGAACTTTATTATAGTTGCAGGTATAGGAAATAGCCGTATTAGTAATCTCAAATTTGAAAAACATTTTATTCTTGGTTTTTCAAGACCTCAAATTGGAATAAGTTAAATTAAAATGAATATTTGAATGATTGAAATAGCATAATTATATAATCTCTGGGATATCATATCATAATCGTTTCAGATCGATGATTTCTCAATTGTAGGGTGCATGTGCTGTAAATATATATTCTATACAACTGAGCTGCTGCGTTGTTCAATCACTTTCTGATAAAGTCGCCACTTTGTTGTTCTTTCTTCACTTCAGGCAGATCTGCAGACCTTGACTTTTTATGATTTATAAGGATTCTGGTTGTTAAAGTAATTTTGTCCAATTTGAAATAATGTTCCTTTACGAACATGTTTCATTATAATATTAAAGATGTATAAAGTGCATTGATTATAATTTTTTTCATTTTTTCCACTAGGTGACATGAGTTCTCACCATTTAACAGTAGACAGAAGAACGCAGGTTCTTAAAAGCATAATGAGAACATCAAAAGAAGTGCAGTCAACATTTCCTGACATTCCTTATTTTCCAAGTATTGGAAATAATGATCTTGCAGTAGATCACGTAATGCCTGGGGAAAATAGCACATGGTATTCTGAAATACTGAATATCTGGCAAGACGCCATATTGTGTAAACATTGTAATATGAAGTATCAGACGACAACCTTACATGAACTGCGCAAAACATTTTTATATGGAGGATATTACAGCGTGTCAATTGCAGGTTTGTCTTTACTTGTTTTTGGTAGTATCTGTTTCTACAGTAAGTCCGAAATTTCAGCAAGAGGTTAGATCAGTATAACAGACCGAGTACAGACTTTATTTTACCCTAATTTTCACTCATGGACAACCGTGTTTCAGTTATAATGAACTGTTCTTTTTAGAGATCGTGTGAGGCCCATCGTAATTAAAAGGACGAAACTATTGCATTTTAAACAGCGAAATTATGAATCGTATATAGTATCTTACATCCTCATTTTAAAATCTACCATCCTTAACTTTTTTTATAGGGTGCTTATTTATCTCCCTCACTTCGAATCTTGACGGTTTTGCTCCCCTCCCCCCGCATTAAATTTGTTCGAAATCCAAATTAATGGCAAAAGAATGACAGATTTATATTTGTGCTGAAAACGCGGTACGGTATGGGGGAAACCGAAAATTGTCCAACAGTTTCTATGGTCTATGTACGTGCATAAATTGTTAGTAGGTTAGAGGGTTATTTGCATCTATCTTCGTTATATTTTTGAGATGGAACAATGATCTTGTTGATTTTAAACTCACTATACTGGACAAGAAGTATGTGGAAACCAAACGATTACTTTACGAAAAGAGCACACGCTCAAATGGGTTGGCTAGAAGAGCAATTTAAACTTGCCAGAAGAAGAAAAAAGAAAGTTGTTATTAGCAGTCATACTTCTCTTGGGTATGTTTTTTCAAGTAGTGACTATACCAGTATTATTTAATGGTAGTCGCCGGCATTAAGTTGTCATTAATAGCGGAGCCCAAGCGATGTTCGGCATCGTTTTCAGTATTATGTTCTCCACGTGAGTGTGCTGGCTTGTTTGTTCGTGGTTCGGAATCATACTAAGCGTTCACTTGATGGTACACTTGTTTTGCGCATGCTCAAGAGCACCGCACCGTTGTAGTATGTCTGGTTTTGTTGTGTATTCTAAATGCGGTGAACAATGAAATTTAAAATTGGTGGTGGCTGAAGCAACTTTAAGTTCTTGAGCTTGCTGTGCTAAGCATGCAAAACCGTCTTTTGTACTATTACAAATAACACGTTTCTATTCGGTTCAAAGGGAGCCAGTTGAGTTTTCTTTTGAAATGAAACAGAAGAATAAATGTCTAATGACATAGCTAATAAAATTTGGAGATTAGAAATTACATGATCATAAGTCGGTAATCCTTCCAATGTCAGTATGATGGCCACCACTAATTTTGCTACAGTACAGCAGCGTTCAATAGTCTGCTAATTTATACGACCGGAAATAGATTATGATGAAAAATGCTTGGGAACTATAGTTGTTTGGTTTGAAAATGCAAGGGGTTGCTGCATCATATATTTCTGCCATGAAAGTGTAGCACTGCACTAATCAATATCACTTTATCTGGTACACATTTCTTATCACCTGAATGCAGTCTATCATGATTGTAGTCTACAAACATTATCTAGCGAACTCAAAACAACGCTTTGTATGGAACGAGCACGTCAGCAGTCTTAAATTTTACATTTTTCTTCAACAGCAAGAACTATGAACTACCCTTGATAAACAAAGGTGGGGATCAAAGGAAAACAAATTGCCGAGACGCTTGCAAGTGTTTTCTCATGACGTTCCCAAACTAGAATATGCACATGCACGATGGTCAAATACAGCGAGTTTTTTGCCAGTCGTGCGGGCTCATATTATCAGCGGACATTTTACACAAAACTATCTGCACTATTCAAGAGACCTGTTGCACTATACAACAGGTGGGAATTTTGTTGTCGCTGGTCAGTAAATTGCGGGCGTTCGCGAAAAGTTCTTTCAAAAATTATTAAAATAAGGTCAAGCCAAAAAAATAACTTGGTTAGGGAGCCCGCCCGACCAATGAAAAAACTCCCGACCCGACTTTTTTTTATTTTTTATTTTATATAAATACCTTAGAAATCTTCTATTCGGAAAGAATTTGTCCACTTTTATATAAATAAATGAACTCTGAAATTAATTATATAAGTTTGTCATGAACTTTGTTTGTGCTATTGAATACTGTAATACCAAATACAGATTTGTGTTGATCGATATTTGCGTTTAAATGTTAACATTTCGTATTTATAAATAGTCTCGACTATTGTCTATGCAGTATTAGTATAAACCTACTAGTAGGCTATCACATATCGTGCCTTCTGATTGGCTACGCTACTAGTGGGCTATTAGTGATAGCCTACTAATAGAAAATTCAAAATGGCGGAAAATTCGCGTTTTGCACTTTTGCCGAAGTGTCTGATGATATTTTGGACGACTTGTTGAACAATTATGTACTAAAAAACCCCGTAAAAAGCAACAAAAATATGGAATGGCAATTTTTAAGGGTAAGAAAATAGACAAAATAACATACACTCAATGAAATTTTAAAATTAAAACTGAATTTTTTAAAACATTTTACACGAACAAAAACAAATATTTGTTTACCTTTAATGGTTTTATAATGTTTTTGTTGTGTATTTTTGTATTGTGTTTGCAGCCTAGTTGTAAGTTAATGTTAAAGTTTATACTAAAACAATTAGACAACTCGGCCTCGTTGTCTATGAGCAAATAGTCAACTCGGCTTCGCCTCGTTGACTATTCGCTCATAGCTAGACAACTCGGCCTCGTTGTCTAATTGTTAATTAATCGCTCATAGAAATCATCGATATATTAAATATGCTCATATTGTATATTCCTGGAAACGAGGCTGATTTTATATGGGTGCTTAATACAAACTTTAAAAAAAAACACCTTCTCCTTACCAAAAAATTAGAAAAAGACGACACTCACCAAATATTTTTTTACTTCAATTGGCCTAAGCAAAAAAGTTTTTTGGCTTATTCTTTTGCAAGAAAATAGCAGATTTGCAAGAATATAAATTCGTTTATTCAAAGATTATGGAAAAAGGCCCTGAATAAAAGACCTTAAACTGATATCGGCGAAATTTTCCGAAGATTGAAGTGGTTTTGACTCCCTGGAAAGATGAAATTGAAAAACTAAACATACTGTGGATTTAAAATGTACTTTTCATGCTTTTTCCTACCCATAGGCATCTTTAGAAAGTTTATTTATGATTAAATCCTGCAAAAATCGTGATTTTGCTAAAATAGGAGAAAGCCCTAAATGATTCTACAAAGCTTTCTTAATTAATTCACTAATCAAGTATTTTTTTATATAATACGGGTTGATATTGGAATCGGCACCACTGTCTGACATAGTCTGCAATTGTCCCAATAGGTGCCCCTGAATATTCCCCTATAAATTGCATGTTTTTGCTAAATCCTGTTCGTTAAAGCATATGTGGTTGAAAGATTGATTCAGAAAGTATGAATAGTTTTGAAATCACACAAATATCTTTCCTCCTCCCTCCAATTTAATACAGGGTGATTTATGGAGGTTCTCGGAAGATCAGCACAATGAAAGTCTCAAAACCAAATATATGGTTTAAACTGTTGCTTAAAATTTATACTTTATATTGGGAGATAATTTGTTCACATCAAAATTCGGAATAGTAGGAATTATTGGAAATTTCGTCGGAATCCGAAGCAGTTCCGATGTGTAAGGTTACGCAAGAGTTGTATTTCTATACAAGTTTTTCGAACGTTCTCATACCTTTCTGGCCTAATAGATTAGAAAAATTTGGTTAGTAGAAAATACGGGCCCAAGAACCCCCAATCAATTGCTATATTTACTTACCGCAAGTTTAACCGCTCGGATTTTAGCGCATGCTCAGACAACATTCTCACCTGTTGCACTATGCGAAACGCTAAGCTTTCCGCTGGGTAGTCTGCGCGGCAGGCGGTATTTCTACAGGCAGAGAAAATCAGGGAGGCAAAGGTATTTCCTAAGTACCGCCTGCCATGCAGGCTATCCGCTGGGAAAATGACCATCGTGGCGGGGCGACGGGGGATTAAATAAACATTTGCTATAGCCAGTAGTTGCTACGCTGTCAATTTATGACATAATATAATGGATATGTATGTTTAGGATGGATATCTATGCATTTAAATCTACATGGATGAAAAATTTTACAGAACGATATGTCGATCTGGTTGTGAATAAATTTAGTGATGTCATTGCAGGTATGAAACGATACACAAACCGATATTAACTTCTTCTGAACAACCTGTAAAAGACTTATTTAAAAATAATATATACTTTAATAGTTATTCAGACTATGATGATGATATATGCCATCTGATATGTCGTCATGGTGTGAAATTTTGGACAAGTTAGTATTTAACTCGGTGATTCACTCGACAACGTTCGGCATTCGTGGTCAGTCCGTATATTTTTCAACATAGCAGCTGAGCGCTCTTTTTGCAACAAAAGCACAGGATAGTTATACATCCTGAATTAAACAAAAAAATACGGCATGAAAACCCAAAAAAATAATGCGGTAAAAAGGTAAGTTAAACATGGAAACGAAAAAGCCAAAATGGTGAAAAAGAAAAAAAAAGTCTTGATTTTAAGTTTTTTCTCGTGGAAAACCTCGCATGCGAAATATATAGAAAAGAATCCTGTTCAAATAGCGTGAAAGATTTTAAGTTTTTAATTTCAATTTAATTTGGGCGCAGTTGAACATTAATTAAAAGAGATAGAACATCTTACTACATATATAGATATAGCCTCGCGTTTTTTCAAGCAATGTCAATGATGGGGGGCATTAAGAAGTATTTGGACGCCATGATTATCTGAAAATGTATACTGCAATATATACTGCAAAACTTTTATGCTTAATACAAAGAGAAATTTATTATGCTGGATCACGTTTACTACTTTCAACATACAAGTTTTCAGCTCTATATGAACGTATTAAAACAGATGGAACATTTCTACGTTCTGAGATGAGTAAAAAGGTATATGGTCGTTTTACGTTTTCCCCCATACTTTTTATACATTTGCAAAGCCATTGTGTCACTGCATGTTCATGCATACTGCGCGTGTTCAAAATTTCTCGTCATAATAGTGGGTTTTTTCTAATGATCTAATCGTGCATAGCGAACGGTAGTTAATCCGCAGATGTCAAAATAGGAAAATAATTTTAATTGTTATATTTAATTTATTGACGTATAATTGTACCATTATATATATTTTGTCATGATTTTGATCCACATCTTGGATTTTCAAGATGCATATTTTCAGAAGATGCTTCTGTAGCTAAATATATATTTGGAAGAAATATACTAGAGGGATAATTTAGTTTATACTTCCTATCAATGTCAATGTACAGAGCCATCTCCACTAATAATAAAAGCGTGCATTGCCAACCGAAATTTTTGAAACGTCTGCCTTGGTCTTTGGTATTACTATAATAATTTATTTTCTATCACTGACTATAAATTTTGCCTTTTAGGCCAAGTCTTCGCCCATTTCCACCGGGATAGTTTTCGTTTGCTAAGCGACAAAAAGAAAGATCCTTCATATCACAATTCGTCTTACATTCTACTCATGCCATCTATGTCTCCATCATACAGAAATAATCCAGCATTTCGTATCGTTCATCTTGATCCAGACCTCCAGGCTATCACGGACTATGAACAATACTACATTAATATCACAAGAACAGGTTAGATAACAGCCAAGACTAGCTATATAAATTAAGCCACCCTTATACTAGCTCGCAGTGCCGCATTTTAGAACGGGAATTATAGGTCTGCTGAACTGTTAATGTAATTGTGTTACATGACGTTAGATATCCGTTTCAAAAGATGGGTTTCGGATCAGGTTAAATTAAGAATATAAACATGTCACTGCATTGTAGCGGCTTCAACTCGTGATGGATTGCCAGGATTAAATGCACGATCTACAAGAAGCAATAGCTTTGGCGTATAGTTAGCTCATTTGAATTTTATATTTCCTTTTGGCGTTCGTATTTAATATCATTTAGTCCGTATTTTGACTGAATATTGCATGAGCGTTAAAACTCTCGTTTAACGTATGAAGGTGTGACACCACTCGTTTAAAATATAAGAACTTTCCCATTAAAATTGCAAAAACAAAAATTTCAATATATACTCCTACCACTCTAACTTGTACGGTGTTTTAGAAAGTACTACTCAATTTTCTGCATGCTCAGTATATGTATACAAAGAAATTACACGACCCACTCCATATTCGAGAAGAGAAACACTTCCATTTCAACTTTAACTTGGTTCAAATTTTGATCATAGCTCATGAGAGTTTTCACCATATCAACTCTCATGTAACACTTGTTCTGGTTTGGCCGGGGCACAAGAGCTGAGAAAACTGCAGGCAAACTCTCGTTTGCCAACTCTTATGAATTGTCACTCCTTGTTCAGTTGAGCAGGGCTTATACGGCTGCGGTATCTTGCATGTGGGTAGCCCGAGGTTTATTTTTTGTCCATGTATAACAATGCCATGGAGTAAACTTATTACTGATTACCTTCATGTTAGTACTTGCAATTGTTGGTCGTGATGTGTAGCGAAATCTTGTGTTGCCTAGTCCAGATATATTGAGATCCCATGCGTCGTTAAATAGAATCACTTCTTCCTTTGGTCATGTGTATTAATTATGCAGTTCCTTTTTCTAACTTAGAAATGAACAACCCAGTATGGCAACTTGACTACAAATTTTCTTCACGATACCCACCAAGTGGAAATGATGACCAAGTTATAAATGGCAAGAGAATAAAGAATCTTAGTGCTAATCTTATCAATCTATCAGATGACAGTTTCTTTAATGGCTATATCAGTTCGCGACAAGTTCGTTATCAGCCACATGATTCTTATTCAAGATCAACCTATTATTGTGCTATTACATGTATAAGAAGGAAGGAATTTAATGTATGTCGAAAAAAATATTCAGATAATGATAAAAACACAAGGTCCAATAAATACAAAGCAAACTTGTAAAAACAGTTTTGATTTACGAACAGATAAGAACATGCATGTATTAAGGCCGGCGCACACTGGAGCTATGTGCTTAGCCAAATTTCATTCGTGCCCATTGGCGTAAGGAGATAGCTCTCGTGTGCGGGCAATTTACGAACAACTTTTGTCATTCGTGCTACTTACGCCAAATATCAAACATGTTTGATAATTTCTGCCTCGCGTGCCAAAATCTTTCCGTGTGCGGCTAGCCTGCATGGCAGGCGGTACGTAGGAAATACCGCCTGCCGCAAAACTGGGTGTAAATGAACTACCGCCCCTGAAGCATCAACGCTATATATAGATGCATTAATTAAGTAAATATTCAAAATTAGCCACTCCCAAGCTGCTCCCAAGTCCCAACTGCCCAACATAAAATAAATTCCTTGATTCTCATCACCGCCCGACTGAATTTTAAAATCCTCGTTGAAACGTTTTATTTTTCGTTATACAATATAAATGTACCGCCCGACAAAATAATTCAAGACAGTTAATTTTTTCATATTTTATATAGAGTTTTTATTGCCATTTTAAACTTCCAATTTGAAACAAACAGAATTTTGAGTGAAATTTCATTGTATTTTAAAGAAACTCAGTCATTCTATCATTGTTTGTGGAGATACGAACTATTGATATATAAATTATATAAATATAAAATATAAAAAATAAATCTCCCACTGTCTTCGACATTTCAAAGTGTGGACTGTGTCTAGTGATGAGAATCAAGGAATTTATTTTATGTGTTAATATAAACCAAGCCCGTTTAGCCGTTTAGCTGCCTTAAAACGGTGGTTTAATAAGCTCAAAATACAAAGCATGCAAGTCTATACTATAGATTCATCATCAGTCAACAACCAAACTGAAAGTATTGAACCTTATAGAACGATAGTTTTTATTTGTTTACAACTATACATATTCAACGGGTAAGAGTTTAACTGTTATTTGATAATTACTGCATCAACCGGCCCCTTGTTTATACTTTGGAGGTTCGTATATATTAATATCTATCAAGTATCTTTGGTTCAGAACATGACTGATAGGCCTATATGGAAATCCCACTGTTCGATTCAGTGAAGAAATATCTCCTAATTTCTATCGATAGTTTTAGTAAAATGTCAACATTATTGCGATTTATGCCAGGGTGCATTCTGTGTAAACCTCACGCCGAAGATAATCTGAGGTAGTGTTACCGTGCGCCAAGTGAGGTCAACTTATGCGCCGGCTGACCGCGGGCACCATGGTTTTTCATTAATAGTTAGTTGCTTAAAATTTAAACTTGCTAAAAAGGCGTGTAACTGATGAATAAAATGTTTTGCTAATGGGCAATGATGAGTGTTGTTACTGTTGTATCACAAGTTAACCTCACTCACTCAGCAATGGCGGAAACTTTGCGAATTTTTTTTTTTTTTTTGGGGGGGGGGGCAAGTGCCGAAGGCACGAAATTTGTAGGGGGGTCTGGGGACATGCCCCCAGAAAATTTTTAAAATTTGGATCCCTGAAATGCATTTGTAGCATTCTGAGAGCACATTTTGTAAGAAATTCCAGGTTTTCAAAACATTAGTTAATGGTGCACTCTGGTATAAATCATGTGCTAAGCATAAAAAAACGACGTTTCAGAGAAAATATTGTAGATGATTTCAAAAAATACATTTGTGAATATAATGGAATTACAAGGTGGTTTAAGTTAATTAATAACCAATGACAATGTAAAATTTATTTGCTAAGTGCTTGACCTCGGAAACGTTAAATCAAAATCCGCTGTATCAAAATTTCATCAGCCTATGCGCAGTTCTATTGTTGATTATTGAACAGTCCTATTACCTTATATGGTAATAATGAGATTTTTATTGCACAAACGACACCATAGTAACGTCAATCGACCTGCCTAGAAGCGTTATCACACAACTGTTGCAACGACTGCGGTAACCTGAACTTGCAGTAGGTAATACTAATATTTAAACCAGAGAAGTGAAAGAACACCTGAAAATTCCTACCTATGGATACTGCATAGTCTGTTGTAAATTTGATACAATTAATTGCTATTGTTCTATGAACACTCGGAAGATACTCTATATGATATATGCATGTATATCATAAATTTAGAGCCTATATACTGACGCAATTGGACACGATTATGGTTACATCATATGATAGATTCCTGTTTCAGAAAAATTGTCACTGCGTGCTGATTTTTTAGATACGTTCCTCAAATTTGGTACATGCTATTAGCCACTGTTTTAGCCAAAATTCACCACCTTTTAACCTGTAGTCGCAAAACTAATTTAATTTGACTTTTTTCAGAATTCATAACGCTCATTGTCAGATTATAAATTTAGAATACTTTAGCTTGTTTTTAGCTTGTTTTTATTAAAACTTGCCATTTCGTTGCTGTTGTTATTGTAACAAATAGTGCTTCCTTATATTGTGCTTTCATTTTTCAAAATGAAATCTAGCTAAACATAATTCTAGTAAAATGTTTGGGGGGAGCGATTGCCCCTCCCCCTTCGCCCCCCTAGTTTCCGTCACTTGTAACCACCATTTAGCTATACTATTACAACCAGGAACACAAATTTCTCGAGTCCCTAAAGAATTATAGAGGCCAATCCAATCACCAGGCGATTATTAATACTCGAAGTCTCGCTTAAACATTTGATGCGCGCCAACCATCAAAACTGAAAACTTGTGCGCCAACCTCGACGTGATTGTGCGCCAGCAATTCAAAACTCACGCCGAAGATCTTCCGCAAAACGTGCATGGAATGCACCCTGGGATTTATGGCCTTTGAAAGTCAAGCGAGATAGTATATTATCAAATTAATACGCATGTAATTGTCTGAACGAAAATATAGACTAGCCCACACCTTTCGCCGATCATAACTTCGGCCCCTTCGGATGTATCTTCTTTGTTAAATATTCTTGTTCGAATCTCTATCAATAACACTATTTAGAGTGTTATTTTTCAGCTTGTATCTTTTAATTTGCTTCTTTTATTATGTTATTCCATTTCTGGTCTGACTTGACGTGAACTAATTTTAAAACGCAGAGTTTCAAAACGTCAAAACATTTGGTTAATGATTAACATTTAACCGAATTTAGCCGTTGATTGACAACTACATAAAAATACTAACCAATCCGTTTTTCCCGTTCACCAGCGGACGGGTAATTCAAAAACCCCTAGTTTTGCGGCAGACGGTATTTCCTTAGTCTCCTACGCAGCCTGTTCGCGGGTCCGAGGTTTTCTCCCCACTAACAGGCTGCTTACTGCAGCAACACATTCCATTCCGATTGTTTCAACTTGACCAATCAGGAAACGGCATGACGTATGCTTCCCGCCAAATTCAGTAGTGACTAATTAATTGTTCAGTGCTAAATATATCTAAGTGTTTACTGCTGTTAAAAATATATTACACGCATGTTTGAAATAATCAACTTGTTTATATTCTGTATGACGGGAGAAGTGCCCTTGGTATAGCTGATCTGATCAAGGTATCAGTATAAAATGTTGATGTGAACAATATTCTGACAGTAACGATTTATTTATTTGCAAAAACGTCTGTTATGAAACGGCTGTTGTCTAGTTGAGGCTGAAAGTTACACTATTATTATTAAAGACACAATCCATGCCAGGGTGCATTCTGTGTAAACCTCACGCCGAAGATAATCTGAGGTAGTGTTACCGTGCGCCAAGTGAGGTCAACTTATGCGCCGGCTGACCGCGGGCACCATGGTTTTTCATTAATAGTTAGTTGCTTAAAATTTAAACTTGCTAAAAAGGCGTGTAACTGATGAATAAAATGTTTTGCTGATGAGCAATGATGAGTGTTGTTACTGTTGTATCACAAGTTAACCTCACTCACTCAGCAGTGGCGGAAACTTTGCGAATTTTTCTTTTTTTTTGGGGGGGGGGGGCGAGTGCCGAAGGCACGAAATTTGTAGGGGGGTCTGCGGACATGCCCCCAGAAAATTTTTAAAATTTGGATCCCTGAAATGGCATTTGAAGCATTCTGAGAGCACATTTTGTAAGAAATTCCAGGTTTTCAAAACATTAGTTAATGGTGCATTCTGGTATAAATCATATGCTAAGCATAAAAAAACGAAGTTTCAGAGAAAATATTATAGATGATTTCAAAAAATACATTTGTGAATATAATGGAATTGCAAGGTGGTTTAATATTAAGTTAATTAATAACCAATGACAATGTAAAATTTATTTGCTAAGTGCGTGACCTCGGAAACGTTAAATCAAAATCCGCTGTATCAAAATTTCATCAGTCTATGCGCAGTTCTATTGTTGATTATTGAACAATCCTATTACCTTACATGGTAATAATGAGATTTTTATTGCACAAACGACACCATAGCAACGTCAATCGACCTGCCTAGAAGCGTTATCACACACTACTGTTGCAACGACTGCGGTAACCTGAACTTGCAGTACGTAATACTAATATTTAAACCTATAGATACTATATAGTCCGTTGTAAATTTGATACAATTAATTGCTATTGTTTTATGAACACTCGGAAGATACTCTATATGATATATGCATGTATATCATAAATTTAGAGCCTATATATACTGACGTAACTAGACACGATTATGATTACATCATATGATAGATTCCTGTTTCAGAAAAATTGTCACTGCGTGCTGATTTTTTAGTTACGTTCCTCAAATTTGGTACATGCAATAACAACTAACTGTAGAAGCCACTGTTTTAGCCAAAATTGACCACCTTTTAACCTGTAGTCGCAAAACTAATTTAATTTGACTTTTTTCAGAATTCATAACGCTCATTGTGTGACTTGTCAGATTATAAATTTAGAATACTTTAGCTTGTTTTTAGCTTGTTTTTATTAAAACTTGCCATTTCGTTGCTGTTGTTATTGTAACAAATAGTGCTTCCTTATATTGTGCTTTCATTTTTCAAATTGAAATCTAGCTAAACATAATCCTAGTAAAATGTTTGGGGGGAGCGATTGCCCCCCCCCCCCCACCTCGCCCCCCTAGTTTCCGTCACTTGTAACCACCATTTAGATATACTATTATAACCAGGAACACAAATTTCTCGAGTCCCTAAAGAATTATAGAGGCCAATCCAATCACCAGGCGATTATTAATACTCAAAGTCTCGCTTAAACATTTGATGTGCGCCAACCACCAAAACTGAAAACTTGTGCGCCAACCTCGACGTGATTGTGCGCCAGCAATTCAAAACTCACGCCGAAGATCTTCTGCAAAACGTGCATGGATACACCCTGGCTAGTAGCCCAGTCTAGTTTAACTTTTCCCAATCAAGAATCATCTCCTGAATCAGGCATACTGGCAACACTGGTTCATTTGATAATGTAAGTATTTAAACTGGTATTTTAGATTATAGCCTCGGTCAAATGAGGATGAAAGTCATGCATGAATTGCTTATAAATACACAAAGGACATTTCAAGTTCCACATGAACAAAATATTATTAAAGCTTTGATGAGTGTTCCAACTATGTTTCAACTTAATTAAAATACTCTCATCCTCGTTTGATCCATAATTATTTGTTGATTTTACTCTATACTAAATAGTGAAACATCGAATCCAGATAAAATCTTATGCAGAACACACTGTAATTCCGAGCTGTAATCACATAATTATATAAAAGTCGTTTCAGTAGCAGCAAAAACCAAGCTAAACACCAACTAGGATTAATAGGTTTAGCTTTTAGGCCGAGAATAATACACGATTGACAATTTTGTGGCTGATTGATTAATTAATTAATAGTATACTGTATATTGATGTTGTTGTATACAGGACATCTGACTTACATGTCAAATTAATAGTCGAATCTATGATTATATACCCTGGTTGCCAGAGGTTCTGTATCTTTCGCCTTATTCCCGCTCGTATATTCATTTTACGCGAGGCGAAGAGAACCTCTGGTGGCACGCGATACAAATCTCTCTTTCATGCTGCCGTTGCCGTTTGAGAACTTGCAAAACCGGTTTTATATTTTGTGACGTTTTTAAACTTCCGGGTTTGTCATACTACCAAAATAGCTCTCTTCAGACAGCCTTGTGTAAAATACTAAAAATAAGCAGCCGAAACATGTAGATTATTCATTAGAAACATGTACATTATTCTCGCAAAGCAAAAAGCAACCTTACTGATTGTGGAATGCCGTTTGTATTAGGTCTATTTAATATAGCGAACGTATAAAGTCAAAAGTGAAAGAATATAAACATCTAAATATTTATATATACGTTTGCAACGGAGCCAGTATGGTTGTCCTTAACAGACAACGGGAAAATATTGGCAAAATAAATCATATTAATAACTATTAAAGTCAAAGGAATTGCCAAAATTTAAAACCTTGAACGATATAAAGCAAGTGACCAACACTTTATATTTTACAAATATTACTACTGTAATAGAGTAAACATGTCATGCCGTCGACTCAAGTCATGCCGCGATGCACTGCAGCTCTTCTCCAGCGCAGAAAGTCTTTTTATAGCGGAACAAACTAAGTTAAACTCAAATAACCCACGCTGAGTAAAGCATTTTAATACGCTCGTATTATTTCTGTATTTTGTTTACATCATGTCTCTGAGATTTATAAACAGGTTTTTTTGTCCAGCCAATCACATCACTTCATGTGACTGCTAATTATAACTAACCAATCATGTGCTTGGTACAAATTTTGTACCAAAGGAAGAAAGATTTGTATCGCGTGCCACCAGAGGTTCTCTTCGCCTCGCGTAAAATAAATACGAGCGGGAATAAGGCGAAATATACAGAACCTCTGGCAACCAGGGTAATGATTACATTGAACATGGCAGATTTGACATTTGAAACGTTGATGTTAATAACCCAATGAGTCGCATTGTGCCCTGATCTGCACTAAGTATTTATTATTTTACTCTGGTTATCTAACGCTAGGCAATTTTATTCATCAAGGGGAGAGCACTGGCGGTTAATGTGTTAACTAGCCT